TGCTACAAATGACAAAACTTAAGCATAGGAAACTAAAGAAACTTGATTAAGGTAGCAGCACTAATACATGATGGAGTTGAATTTAAGCCTGTCTGTTCAACTCCAGAAACTTGTCTTCTTAACCACCATTGACCACAGCCCCCAATAAAATCTTTCTCCTGGCTGTCTCTGAGGATTGAGAGAGAAGCTGCCTGTCCACGACTTAGCACTGTGCCCTGTCTATGATATGAACTTAATGAATGGAGTCCATTATTGTTATTACCACTGAAACTTAGCCAAGAACATAAATAATTATAAGACAAGGCACAATGTAAATAACATCTGAGAGGTACAAAAGAGAGAGCATGTGAAGGAAGTTCAAAGGAAGGAGAGATGACATTTGTAAATAATACAATTCTTTATTTTAAAATATGTTTTTATTTCTTTTTTTGTTTTAAAGATGTGGGGTACAATTCAGGAATACAAATAACACCATTCTTCAAGGAGGAGGCAGTCTGTGGAAAAAAAAATTGTGTAGGATCTTGGCAGACAGAGATGAGGGAAAATAATGTATGTGAAAAGAAGAACAGAGACCCTAATCCACATACAAGAATTGTGGGGTTTGTTTTGGGATCAGAGAGCAGCTGTTGGCCACGGATAATGATAAGCATAGGGAACACAGGATGGGGGGGGGGTCAGGGTAAAAAGACCACCAGAGAGTCCCTGGGGAGGGCTTCACCCCATGGGGTGGGGAATCCTTGCTAAACATGGTGCACAATGGGGAATCAGTGCTGGTCTTTGAGCTGGGAGGTAACATATAAGCAAGGCTTGTGCTGAAAAGCCAGATCTGGCAAGGACTGTAACAGAGAGTGGCTGAGGGCGTGGGCAGTGTAGTGCTTGAGTCACCAGATGCCACCCTTGCTGGCTTCCAGGTGAGTGTGAGTTTCTCCTAATGAGCACATTCCTGGGCGACTCTTTGATCTGAGAGTCCTTTATGGTTTGTGAGGTTTGCAGTACAACAGGGCCCTCTATAGGTTTCTTGAAGATTATACTCAGGAATTTAGATGACAGACCTTGAAGTTAATTCAAATAACTGAGGTTTGTATACTTAAAGTCTATAGGATCTTTGTATCAGGCGCCCAAGTGACAGAAGCAGGTGGGTGCCCATAGCACACTCCTTCTGAGCAAAGCCATGTGAGGAGAAAGAACCAGTGCTCTATGCCTTCCGTTTTTCCAAAGTGGTTACATTTTTATAGTAAAACATCTTGGTTTCTAAATGTGCACTTGCTTTAAAACAAACACCATAAAAGCCAGAGGAAATCTGTCTGTGGGCCGGTTCTGCCTTTCAGGCTTCACACTTTCATCTTCCACCCAGGAAAAGAAAGTGGAGGCCCTCTTAAGAGTCTAACTTTTCCACTTGGAAGACAAGAATATCATATCCAAAAGGCCCTAGCAAAGTTCACTCCTCACTCAGCTGGACTAGAACACAGGTCATTTGAATGTCAATCCATTGCACAGATTTTTTTAAATGTTGTTTACAATTTTTGTCCTAAGCTGGACCACCGCCATTTTCTCCAACATGCATGAGGGGCTAGGGTAAGATTGAAGCTGCTGTGGCGGGAAAGGGGTTGATGAGATAGTACAGTAGATGTGGAAACCACTTGAATTCCTCATTTCTCATTCCATCACCAACGTGTGTCAGGTATGTCCCAGTTAAGGCAACATTGGTGTTAGAGAACCATTGGCCCCAGTCTGGAATAGAATATTCCTAATATTCCAAGAGAATATTCCAAGAAAATACTTCTTATCCTTTGAGTCGTGAGGATAAGCCAAGATTTATTCAGTCTGTAGTCTCTCCCCCAGACTCTGCATTCAACTGTCAGTGGCTCTTGACTCTAATCTGGTCCCATCCAAACGATGGTAGACATATCATAATTATTTGCAGATGACAGCAGGGAATTTTTGTGGTGGATCCATGACAAGGATTATTATTTTGTATATTTTAAAGAAAATAATTTTTCATTTGCATACTAATTACTTGGGTATATTCTTAAGTTCACCAAGAAATGACTCCCCCAACGGTAATATTTTTACAAAATATTCGGAAACATTATAATATAGAGCTTAGATAAAGAACTCTGGCATCAGATCTACCTGGTTCAAAATCAGGCTCTGTGACCTTGAACTAGTGATTTGTTTTCTCTAAGCCTCAATTCCACACAAGCGTGGATTAATTAAAATAGTGCAGATAAATCTTTTAAACATTGTAAGTACTCATAAATGGAAACTTTATTACATATTGCTTCACCTTTATTTGTTAAGAAACTTAATATTAAATCAATAATTTGTGGCAATTTAAAAGTATCTAGAGATACTTTTTTTTTTGCAGAAAGATGTGAGACCTAATTGATATCCTCTTAAAGATAATAACACAGCTAGTTTGATAGCTACTCGACTGTGGTCTTAACCAAATTTTAATCTACATGACTTATGCTCCAATAATATCTGAGATATAAAAATGACAAAGAAAGACCACGAGGTATTTAGATAATACTTGACTATAAAATTCAATTCTTCTTGTGACCATATAATCATATTCTCAATTTTATGAGATGTTTTCTGGAATCTATGGGTGTGCCTACAGTCTGGAACTTCCATCATGCTGAGTTTTGGCAGAGGAGCAAAATATAATGAAGGGATACATTTATTTACATGGATATTCTCAAGGGACCAGGTCTTAGAATTCTTAGAAAATTAACTGCTTAGGCTTTTGTACTCAGAGCTGGGTTTTGATTGATTGGATAATTAACAGGAATTTAAGGCGGAATTTGGGAGATACATTTCTGAATGTGCTACTGAATAGGTCTGAGCCAAAGGTTTGGACAGAAATGTAGGCTCACCCAGATTAGCAGTGCCAGACTCTGACAAATTCAGTTTCAACATTTACAGTTCATCTTGGCAGATGCTCATATCCTGATGTCATGCAGCCATGATCTAAGCCAGAAAGAGTGGTATTTTGCAATAGAGAGATTCTGGTAACCCTTCCCATGAGTGTGGGTTGTAGGATATCAATATTTATATCTCACCACAGAAAGCATGTCACATTTTATAATACGGAGAAGTTAGATGGCTTATTCATAGTCCTCTGCATGGATGAACTGTCTTTGTGTTCAACATCAAAAGCTTAAATTGTTGATGTTTGTCTTGTTATTTTCTTAAGACTTTTTTTTTCAATTAAATATAATGAGTAGAAATCTCCTTGACGTCAACAAAATGAAAATGTCAAAGTTAAAGGATTAAATCTGTATTGTGCCAGGAAACACTAAAAGATGGACTATGTTATAATTTCATCCTCTTCAAACTTGATGAAAATATAACTATACAAAAGCTAATATGGGGAAACAGGATACAATGATGAGCAGTTGTAATTCTTTTGGTGTCAATTTGCTGACTCAGGTATGGCTGAGATTGTAGTGTGTGTCCCGTACTCATTATACTCTGAAATGTGAAATAATGAAGCACTTATTAATATTGTCGATCTAAGAATGTGTTCTCAAGGAACTGAAGTATAGACAAAAGGAGGAGACAAAATAGGAAGTGAAGGAAGTTGGTGAACCTCTCGGTCAGTCTTGTTTAGTCAAAATTCCAGAAACGTGTGGTCATGCCTTTTCTAAATGACCCACCCCATTTAATGATCCATTGATAACTGAAAGTGTAGTTGTGATGCAAGGACCTTACAGGTAGGCTCCTTTTAGGGTCTTACTGCATATAAAAACAATGGAAGATGAGGTGATTTTCAGATAATTTTATAGTCATATATTTTTCACTTAAGTCTTGCTTGTGTATTGGAATATTGCCAGATCTGGCTCTATTCTGTAGGAATAAGAGACTCCTTTCTGCAAAATTAACTCCGGAATTATGTAATCACAAGATTATATTGTACGACAGACCATAAACAGATGGCTTTCACAAGCCACACTCTAAGTTTCTGTACAACCTCACTGGGTGGATTTTATACTGTTAATAAATACAGGTGAAAAAAGTTGAATCTCTACTGGCTTTTGTTTGGGTTAACGTTTTGGTTTAGCAACCTGTGAATTTAAATTCTTGTCTGACATTCTGATTTTAATTATATTATGTTTATAGTTGACAAGTATTTTTAGGCAGCAAATATTTATGACCTTTAAGGTTATCACCTCTCCTCACTCTAGCACTAAACCCTTTTATTTTTTATCAGGAGGCAGTTGTTTATTGTTTCTTCCTGCACTCTTCCCAGCTTTTACATCTGTTTGGAGATGTGCATCAGGAAGAGCATAGCTTTCTAGGTGTGGTGGGTTACTGACATCACTGGGAGGAACCTTCACCTCCCTACCCCTTGGTATGATGTAACCTTTGTGTACTGTGTGAGAACTTACAGAAAGTGCTGACTGCAACTTATTTGCATTAAATTCCTTCTGGAGGAAAAACAAAGCAAGTGAAATACTATCTATTCAAAGGAAAGCAGAATGGAAAGTTTTGTTTAGAAATGTATGAAAAGTTATAACAATGTAAATGAAGAGATTATTACTAGCCTGCATTGTACAAAGATTCAAGCTTTAACTTCTTTTAACTAAGTTCATGATCAAAATTGTTCTGTTTAAGTTCATCACAATAGAAAAGGAAGAATCCATAGTTTTAGTTTCATTTTAAATCTAAAATGAAAAATGGTCGCTATTATTCTTTAATGTTATTTTGTACTTCTTATAAAAATAAATTATCATTTTACAAACCAAACACTAAAATATACACCTAAGATAATATCCACTGGTGTGTTTTGGGTTAGGAATAGAGATGTTGAGGATAATCCCATCTGCGTGTAGATTTGGAAAAGATTTTTTTTCTCTCACTGTCAACTTATAGAGCTGCAAAGGCTTTGTAGAAAATGAAGCCAAAAACCAAGGTAATTAAGGGACCTGCACCAGACTGTTCAAATTAAGTGGCAGAAACATAATTAAAGAGGAAGGACATTGATTCTTAAATACTTATTTTGTCCACTGCTCCATATTTTAACTCCATGTGCAAATCTGTTATCAAGTGTTCACAAATGATGAAGAAAGCTTCCATATATTGTGGGTTGGTGAAAAAAATTCCTATGTCCAGCTCTTCAGTTTCAATTTTAGGAACATTTGTAGACTTTTATTCATTAGGAGAATTCTAGGACTTCAGTCCAAAGGAATGGTGAACAGGTAATTCCACTGATAACCAGAGGGAGTGATGAACAAAAGCATTAGGTGACCAATGAGTGCAACCCAAGGTTTTATAATCCATGCAGAAACAGAAATGTTGGGCCTATTCCAGACTTGATATCCAGATAGCTTTCAGTTCTCAGAAACTCTTTAGCTTATTTCATATTTCACAGATGAAGGCTACACGATGTTGTCATAAGCTAGGGATGATTACTTTTGCCTTGGACATTCCATTACCTCTTCAGCGGCTTAATCTTAAGACACGTTTATTTCACTGGAGGTGCCTTAACACTGATTTCATCCTAAGAGCTGACATCACATTCTTTTAGAGACCATGAAAGCAGCGTGCTTAGGATTAGGTTCATTGAGCAAATAGACTTAGACAGAGATCCATCTAGGTAGTCCAAAATAGCAAGCACGTGAAGAACTCAAGCTTGGCATTGCTTTGGCTTGCTGCAAGGTTGATAATTATTCCCATGAAAACTCACACTGGACACAGTCAGAAGCATGAAACTCAGTCTTTCTGCAGTGAGAATAATAACCACACAACAACAAACCCAGAGTAGAACTATGAACTTAACTTCTGTCATGGTAGCTTGTTTACTTGGCTTCTATCACACCTTCACGATGGCACCATCTAAAGACCAACACTGGATTTTATCCTCTCGTGTCATTTCAACTTCCATTATGTTCAAGTCTAGTCAGCTTGGCAAGTTCTGTTGTTTCACTTGAAGATTTTAATTTTGGGTCCACTGATTTCTACAAATGCCTTGATGAAGATTCTTTACAAAGTCCTCACAGTGGTCTCCCTCCAGAACAGATGTTGTAGGGCGATTTCCATTTTAGACACCTAGAACAGAGTATTGGTTTCCTTATGAATCTGGCTGTTGTTTCTATAGATCTTTGAGGACGACATAGGTGCAGGGGTACAGCAGCTGCTCTTGGTGTCCCACCCAGTTTCCACATCATTCCGTCCCCCTAGTGGCTGTGGGCATGAACAGGCCCACAGCAACATCCTTCTCTGGAGGATTGCCCATGGCCAACAGAACATCTTGCAGGGAGACTCCTGGGGAATTACAAGTCCCTGTCCCCCCACCCCCGTGATTCAGGACACTGAAACCCAGATGCCTTGCCTCCTTGGAACAGGTCTATGCTGCCATTCACATTCTAGAGCTCTCTGAGGAATCTGGCTGAGGTCACACTTCAGTGAAGCCACTCATTTGCTTAGCTCCTTCTTATGCTCCACTGCTTTCTTCACTTTGTTACAAGGTTTCACCACAGAGCACTCCCATAATCCAGTCTCCTGCCAAACAATCCCCATCTCAGACTCGGCGTCTAGGAAATCTGACCTCATATGCCAGCTTGCTAACATCAGAAGGTTCTACTTCTTTCTCTTCCTCATTATTATTATTAATTTATTGGTTTCAGGCATCCCTGCAACTGGTATGATACAGATTTGATTCTCTCTAAAATGAAGTTGTTAAGCAAAACAAACTTTTCTAATTTTGGACAGGTAGTTTTGGTCATATTGAAAATGACAATTTATTAAAATACAACAAAGGAAATGTATTTGTATTTTTTATTAATATATCTCACATTTTAAATGGCTTTTCCCTAATCACATGAATTTAAGGAAGAACCACTAATGTGGAGAAGCCAGAAATAAGAATAAATACATAAGTAGTTTATACTTACTTGTAGATCAAGTTTATTTTCTTAGATTTTTAGCAAGAGAGAGTATCTTCTGAATATACTCCCAATTGATGTCCAGGGAGAAAATAGCCCATGTTTGTCATATATTTTTCTTCATTTAATGCTCATTTCTTGATTTTCTTTTCACTCACCAAATATTTACTCAGTGTCTGTTGTGTGCTAGGCACAGTATTTGGCACTGGATATGTAATTGTGAACAAGACAAACTTAGTCCCTACCTTCTTGGGACCTGCTGTCCACCTCATTTATAATTTTGATGTAAGCAGACAGAGATGAGATGGAGGAAAACTGAAAATCTGATCTACCTGTTACAGCTGAAAGTAAATTTTTACCACTTGTTTTGGTTTGTGAAAAAAGGTATCAATATTTTCTAGCAACTCGCCAGATTTACAGCCTTTTTTCATTAAAAAATTATACATGTCAATGGCATATTAGGTGCTAAATAATTATTTGTCAAATGAAGTCATGCCACATAGCTTTTTCTTTCATACCTCTTTCTTATGTAGCAGTAACAAATAGCAAGAAAACCACTTAATAATAATCCAACGCCAATCCCAACAGCAATGTATTTTTCATAAGAATTCACAGCATATGAAGTTAAAGTCAAGTGCTCACACCTTTCTCCAGTATAGCCAGTAAAACACCTTTAAAAAAAGAAAACATATTTAATTTTGAAACCCAAGATGATAGAAATACAAAGTAATAACCTATATCAAAAAATGAAAATAATATTCCATGGAAGGTAAGAAATTTAATTTAAAAAGGCAAATACCAAATGAAAGTCAATCTGTTAAAAGTAATGAAGTAGCTATGAATTTTACAATAATCTTTTAAGCCTCATATTTTCCCCTCATTGGTAGTAGAGAAAGATAGTATGCTTGCATGACTTACTCTAGAAAATTGTTAGACTGCTTTCTTATAGGAGGATGTTGAACAAATCAGTTATCATGAAAATAGTATCTTAGTTGCTCCAGAACTTTATAATTCTGAAATGTTTCTGCCTTAATCTGTTTCATTTCATCCTGCAAGCAATGCTGTGAAAACTCAAAATCACCTTTGCATGCTGTTGAAAATGCAGATTCTGATTCAGTCATTTGGGGTAGAGCATAGATTCTGCATTTCTAACAGCTTCTGCTAGTTTTGGAAGCATCTTTCTGAATAATGAGGATTCATTAGTTTAGAAGAAGACTCCTTCGGTATTCAAACACAAAGAAGACTGGTGAATTGTGATCAGATTGTGCACTCTTTCTAATGGATAAGATAGAGCAGTGAGGAGATATACTACTATATGAAGGAACAGAGGCATACATTCACCTCTTGTCTCCTAGGACTTAGAAAGTTCCTAGAAGCATTTACCTGCAGATGGCTTTCTCTAGCTCATGGTGGAATGCACAAACACCATTGATGCAGTAACTGTTATGGTCTTCCAGGCAAGGATGTGAGAACTTCAAGACTATGGGATCTTCTATGTGATCAGCTAAGAAAAGGACATACAATATTAACAGATAAAGTGTGTCCTACTTTTATGGTAAATTTGTAATACATATGTAAAGAGACCTATTCTCATAATATCCTGGGAATGTTTTGCCCTTTGAACTTTTGGTTCCCTTAGCAGGTTGTATTCAAAAGGGTTAAGCTAATATTATCTATTATGAATTAATTAGGGGGTGGAGGTGGATTGATGATTATCCATTTTTTTAAAAATAGAAGCTACGTAATAAGGTATAGAGACAACAAGATGGCCAAAAGGTGGCAGCATTGGTTTTAGTCTTACCAGGTTATTTTGAGCAGTGCTTCTCAAATGTTTACCTGGATGCCAATTAATATAGACATGCTAACACAGTATTTTAATTTCCCCCCTTTACACCTGAGAAGTCAGCACTGGGAAGATTTGGATAAGGAACAGGATACTCATTACTGTTTCTCTGATATATTCAGGACATACCTATACCATCTCTGGTGTTTATGTATTAGGAATGAGAATGCAAAAGTGAGTCCTTTGGGGTATACTTTAACTACTGAATCTTAACTTTTTCTCCAGAAGAGGGCTAAGGAGATTAGCAATTTTTTTTGGGGGGGGGGGGTGGCGGGAGGTGGGGAACAGATCTAAAGAAAGTATTCTTTTTTATATTGAAAATACTAAATTTTAGGTGCTAAGGGACCAACAAGGTACTATGTTCCATCACTTCAATTTCACTGAGAACTCACATTATTACCTTAAAATTCACATTCACATTTGTTGAAAGTGGTGTGTTGAATATAATCCATCATTTTAATAACTAATTCTGAGGCAGTGAGAATTTCCCATTATAAACTGTGCTAGGTTCTTCCTATTTCAAGACTAAATTAGTTCAATTAACCAAGCCTGAACCAGGATTTGCTAGAAAATGTGAGAATTTTAAAAAGCCATTTCTGGCCGGGGGCACGGTGGCTCAGCCTATAATCCCAGCACTTTGGGAGGCTGAGGTGAGAGGATTGCCTGAGCCTCAGGGGTTTGAGGCCAGCCTGGGCAACTTGGTGAGACCTCGTCTCTACAATAAATCACAAAAGTAGCCGGGTGTGGTGGCATACGTCTCTAGTTCCAGCTACTTGGAAGTCTGAGGTGGAAGGATTGCCTAAGCTCAGCAGTTTGAGGTTGCGGTGGCCGTGAGCATGCAACTACACTCCAGCCTGGGCAGCAAGAGTGAGACTCCAACTCAAGAAGCCATTTCCAAGTAAAGGTATACTAGAAAAATTGAAGTTCTCCATCAAGAAAGTAAAGGAAAAATATAGAGATGATACGCAGTTATGCCTTCGTATTCATGGGTTTCACATCCGTGGATTTAATTAAACTTAGATGGAAAGAAAATACCTGAAAAAAAATATTGCATGTGTACTAAACATGAGCAGACTTCTTTTCTTGTTATTATTCCCCAAACAATGCAATATAACAACTATTTTTGTAGCATTTGTATTGTATTAGGAATAGGTAATCTAGAGATGATTTAAAGTATATAGAGAGAAGTATGTAGGTTATATGCAAATACTACCCCATTTTACATTTGAGCATCCATGAATTTTGGTGCCTACTGGGCAAGAAGAAGGGTTCCTGGAACCCATGGCCCTTCAATACCAAGGGATAACCGTATTGGGTCCCTTTTTTCTCATTCCTATTATCTGTAACTTGGAGAATTGTATTTGCAGTTCGCCATTAAGGAAGAAGAAAGATGGTGCTGGACATATTGTTTTGATGTCAGTCACTGAGAGAAAACCATACTCCTTTAATTTTCTACAGCATTATCACATTCTATAAGATGGTTCCTGTTTGTTCAAAGGCTCAGAAGTTGGCTACAATTTATTCTAAAACCCACAATAAGTATGTTTTGCAAATTGCTAGCTATTCAAAAAATCACATAGGCAACATTTAAGTTAATCTTTAAAAATGTAAACTTATTGGTAAAATGAAAAACACTTAAATATTACAATCTTTCATATTCACTAATGAAATATTTGACTTGCTCTTCATATATTTGCTTGCTTCTGAGCACAAAATTTGTTTCCTCTGTCTTAAATAATATCACCAGTCTTCACATCGGGGGAAGATGTGATTTGCAGGAGAATTCTAACCACTCAGTCACAGTTTTGGCAAGTAGAGATTTCCACATTCACCTTTAAGAGTTCAAATGGGTTTGGGAAAAAAAAAATGCTGATGCTTGACAGCAGCCAGAAGTCATTGTAATAATAACAATAATAAATAGGAAGAAACATCATCACCGTCAACAACAAAAACTGGGTACACATGGTTAGGATGTTACAGCAGATGCTAAATCAACACAAAGCCCCAAAAAACAAACAGGAAAAGCAATCTTCCAAATACGAGAGCAAGTGGTTTTCATCTTGTAGACATAATTTGCTTGGTTGCAAAGCTTACAGTTACAGATTAAACTATGATGATGCTAGTCAAAAATGCCAAAATGGGGACGAACTGCCTCTGAACCCAAGCAGAAATTAAGCAGAACAGGTGGCTTGTTTCACATTCAGGAGAGTAACTGAAGACAGCTTTTGTTTCTCTCCTTTGCCTCACTTCCTCCTTTTAAAAAGACGATCCTTTGCTGGCACATGAATCTGCCACTTTAACAGTAATCTGACAAAAAAAGCTGGTTATCTAATCATAAAGATGTATATTTTAAAATTGCCAATGTTGTTTTTATCACAATCCAAATTTCTCTCACAGGGTTTTGAAATCGCTTGAAATATAGAAATGGAAGAAAATACCTTCTGTTTTGTTAACTGTCTGGTTACCTTGCTGGGCTGTGATTGAAGGTGTTACAGTCACGGCTGCCTCTTCAGTCAGTGCTGTCATTGCTGTATTAAGGGGGGAGAAGAATCTTTAACAGGAGAGACTTCTTCTATGTAGAAGCAACAGGAAAGTATTCTTAATCTGTTTATTTCTCTTTCTATTGTTTCTAATGTATTCAGAGTGGAAATTCATAACCTGACTAGGGCAATTTCCGTACAGTTTCTCATCTATCATTGACTATATTATAATCATAAAAATAAAAACACATTAATTTTTAGGAGAAAATTAATGCATTTACATACCAATTCACTCACAAGGACACTTTAGTCCAGTAGCTAAATATATCAATAACTCTTCAGTTGTGTAAAGAAAACATTTTGGAGGTTTCAAAAAAAGAGGTGTCAAATATATCAGGAGAGGAACCTATATGAACTATACCAGAAACTACATTAATCCACAGATGTCTTGTTCAGATCTTTGTCATAAAGAACAACTGTTAGAAGCCAACGTAGAGGAACTAAATTTATTCACATTTCACACTGACAAAAAGTTAATAAAACAAAAAGGAAATTACCTACCATTGAACAAAAGATAGACTGATATTGGAACTCCCAAAGCCATTTCCTGTAGTTGCTTAGCTTTCTTTTTCTTATTCTCCTAGACTGATGGGCGGAAGGTTTTTATTGAGCTCTCTGAGTCTTTGTTGCATTTATATTTCATGAAGCGTCATCTGGCAGTTCTTACCAATCAAAAAAATATGTACTTCTGGCAGCTGCAGAAAGCCTCCAGGCATACACGCACTTGTTTAGGATACCTGTGTTATCTAGCGATGTGATCGAGTTTTCTTTTGAAACACTGGTTTCCTGTTACCTGTGGGCATAATCGTGTATGTAAAAGTACTTAAAACAACAAAAAACGTGAATTCAAGAAGAGCCCCCATAGTGTGAACAGAACTATTCCAGCTCAAAGCTGCTAGTTGCCTGTATGAATTTCAACAAAAATAATTGCAAAATTGGGAACACTGTACACTGTCAATAAAATAAATACCTCTGAAACTATAGTCAGTTGCACTACCTTTCATTACAGATTACAAATTCCATTACAAATCAAGATATTTTGCTAATTTAGGAGCACAGTTAAATTTGTGAAAAAAGAGAGGTTTAATATTCCATTTTTATTTTTGTTACTTAGATTTGCTAGTTCTGTAAACGTAATTTTTTTAATAGTATAACATTTACCTTTATGCTATTCTGCCATTCAATATTTTTCTGAGTAAATGAAAAATGCTAAGTTCTAACAGTGCTTAAATCTGTGCCCCAATGATTAGACTAGAGAGAACCAGTAAAGTACCAAAGTAATAATAATAACAGTATCAATAATAATAAAATTATTCATTAAGATAAAATTAATTTGTGTAAATCTAATGAATCAAAGTTTTAAATTTAATACAATGTTCAAGTGCTTTGCTCAATGTTTATTAGTTATAATTATTAAAGTGCCACTTTAAGGACCAAGACATATAATTACTGCCATTACATTTTCTGACTACAAAAATTTGCACTTGCCCCAAATTACATAAATAATTTATGAAAATGTTTTGCTGAGATGTTGTACCTTTCTACCTAGAATTCCAATTGCCCATATTTTCTGCATTTTGAACACTTGTTCAAGTCAAGATAGGTTTTCATTTGCATCATTTCTACCTAGAAAATTAGATTTATGAGAAAGGATCCCTTTCACTATTCAAATATGAATTTGGCTTTAGAAATCACACAAGAATGAGCTTGTTGAACTCATTATAACTTGGGCAATCACTTGCCACAAGAGTCATCATTTTAAAGTTGAAAGAATATGCAGTACTTGGCTCACTTTAAATGTGCCTGCATTTAGTGTTTCTACTTTTGTGGGTTTTTAAAAAAAAACATTTATTATTTTATCATCATTATTATTGTTATTTTTAAAGCAGGATTTATTGAGAGACAGAAAAGCTCCCCACAGTGGGAGGGGATCTGAAGGGGTCACCCAACCATTTATTATTAAGTCAATTGCTGAACAACATTTTTCCAGGCAAATAATATTTGGCTTATAAATTGAACAACCTTCTTTGTGCCATTAGTGAGAATTAAAAAATAAACCATGTACAAAAGATTAAGTAAACCATCACAACACCTTTTGTATTTTCTGGAGGAAAAGGTCAGGACTCATATTAAATATCTTTATTTCTAAGACTGAGACACACAAGTACAAAGATTATCTTTCTAAAAACCCTTAACGAGAAGTAGTGTAGTGTTTTGCACTTTACAGGTTTCATGCTTGTCTCAATTCTTTCTACATTAATCCTGATCTGAACAAATTGGTACCCAACATAGCAAATACTCAATGAAGCTATCTCGAGTGAATCAAGAAATAAATAACAGGCCTATGACTATTCTCAGATGACAAATGATGAATTGAGGCTCAAAGGAATTAAGTGACTTGCCAGTGGACGTGCCTCCAAGTCAGGACTTCAATTCCATTTTACAGATTCCAAATCATATGCCCTTTCCACTTTCCACTTTCCTAGCTGTGTTTTCTTGTAGGAGTCACTGTATTGATCCCAGAGGAAGTCCTTTAATTATTTCCTAAACTTTAAATGTATGACTTTTGTTATTAAAAAAAAAATCCTAAATATTAAATGAACCATGGTGCTCACGCACATCTGTGGAGAAAGAGAGATACACTGCTGCCTCTCTGTCAATTGGGTCATGCCATCTAGAAACTCATTCACTATTTTAGCTTAAGGTTTATGCCAAAAAAAGCCCTAAGCCATTCCATATGGTGCTTTTTGTCTAAGGCCCATATTGGGGGCTTCCACATACACTCTTTACAGGAAACTCTACTACCTTCATTTCTTCAATGCTCCCACCAAAAAGTCCTTTCTCTCAATTCTGAATGAAGGAGATGGGCATTACTAGCTGGCCTCCCTGATATCTTGTGTTTTTTAAAATTTATTTTTTATAGAGTTGTGAGGTACAGGTGTGGATTAACTACATAGGTAGACTGCATGCAGGTGAAGTTTGGGCTTCTAGGTGGTCTTCACTCCTCTGGTAGTGAACCAGCTACCCTCTGTGTTGTCACGTGCCCTCCACCCACCTCCCTCCTTCCTTCCCTCCCCTAGCAGTGCCCAGCGCCTGTTCATCTCACCTTTGTGGTAATGTGAATAGTGATCAGGGCCCACTAATGGGTGAAAACCTGCAAAATTTACTTATTTTTCCTGTGATAGTTTACTTAGCATGATGGTCTCCAATTGCATTTAAGTTGTTGTGAAGGTCATAATTTTGTTTTTCTTTATGGCTGCATAATACTTCATCACATATATGTACCATGTTTTATTTATCCAGTCTACTTTCAATGGGCAGCGAGCTGGTTTGATGTTTTTGCTATTGTGAATAGCTAACCAAAGTAGAAGGACACTAGATCCCTACCTACCACCGTATACAAAAATCAACTCAAAATAGATCAAAGACCTAAACACTAGACCTCAAAGTATAAGAATCATAGAGGAAAATGTAGGAAACACCTCTCTGGACATTAGAGTAGGCAATTAATTCATGACCAAGTCCCCAAAAGTAAATGCTACAAAAGCTAAATAGACAGGTGGGACCTCAGCAAGCTGAAAAGCTTTGGCACAGCAAAAGAAACCATCAAGAGAGTAAAGAGACAACCCACAGAATGGGAAACAATGTTTGCAAATGCTGTATCTGAAAAGAATAACATCCAGGATGTAAAAGGAACTCAAACAAAGTGAAAGGAAAAAAAAACAACTAACAACCCCATTAAAAAAGTGGGCAAAGGACATGAACAGACACTTTTCTAAAGATGACATACAAGCAGACAACAGACATGAAAAAATGCTCAGCTTCAGTAATCATTAGAGAAATGCAAATCAAACTACAATGGGATACCAACTAATTTTGGTAAGTATGGCTATCATTAATAAGTCAAATACAACAACAGGTGCTGGTGTGACTGTGGAGAAAAGGAAACAAACACTTCTACACTGTTAGTGGGAATGTAAGCTAGTTCAGCCTCTATGGAAAGCAGTGTGGTATTTCCTAAAAGAACTAAAAACTGATCTTCCATATAATCCAGCTATCCCTCTCCCTGATATTTTTACTCATTCTTAATCCATAGTAAAGGCAGGTCAGAGTGAGAAAGGGGAAGGAAGTGAGAGGCTAAGAGTGCCATTATTATTTTTCGCTGGTACCATTTTTTCCCCCAGTCTTTTTTAGTTAACGCAGTTCCTCTTGTCATAAGTATCTCTGAAAGTTTATTCTCTTTCCTTCCATCTTTTGTTCTTGTTCTTTGACTAACTCAACCAAAATTTGTTGCTGGTCATTGGTAAGAGATGGTTATCAGTCCATTGCTTTTCTCTTTCTAAATTTATTCTGTAGTTTCATGGATTCAGCTGCCATTCATTCATTCATAAAATATTGAGTGACTGCTACAGCCATGCCACTGTGCTGGGTGTGATGATGCTTATAAGAAAAATAGACAAATTATGCATGTATTATGACCTGAAGGGTCTAGAAGGCACTAGTAAAAGTACATAATAGCTATTGTACTGGGTAGGGAGTGATACTTGCCATGAATGTAGCATAAAGGGCTATGAGAGTTGAGAACTGGGCCTTAGTCAAATTCTCAGGGCATTTTTTATCCACATGTTTCAACTGAAGTGAATCTTAAATAACAAGTAGGATTTGGACATGTCATGATAAAAGAAAGGATTCTAAGTGGTGGGGGGTAGAAAGTAGGAAGGCGAGGGGAGGCAGAGTGAAGTAAGAGTGGGCTCTGGTTCACATCATTCCAACAGATCTTGTTTTGAATTCAAATTCTGTCTTTACTATTTATTTGAACTGGCTTGGGCTCTTTGATAACCAGCAGGGTCAATTTCCTTCTCTATCAAATGAAGAATGTCCATATGAAGCAAAGACAAAAAAGAAAGAAAAACATTTAGCACATGATAGGTGCTTGGTTAAGGATAGCTGTTACTATTGAATAAGTGTAGAAAAACACCATGTGTACAATGGTTACCAACAAGTGGTTAATATATGCTGACAAATCCTAAATTCTTATCATTAACCATAAATTCCTATCCTCTTCCCAAACTGACATTACTTCAGGATTTTTAATTTATGTATTGTGTCATCACCTCAAACTCAACATGTTTTAAACTGAACACATTATCTCTTCTCCAAAGTTAGCGCCCCTTTATAACTTCCTCATGTTAATCAATGATAACATCTTTTAACCTCTTACTACAATTCGTATAGCTTACTAACTACAGCTAGATTCTAATTTACTCAGGCTTCTTCTAGTTTATTTTGCATCCTTATCCAGTTGTACCACTCTGCAAAACACACATTTCATTTTAGTGTAACTGCAACCCTTGCTTGTACATATATGGCAAGCTCATTTTCACCTCCCTAACTTAGTATTCTTGTTCTTTAGGGTCCTCTTTACAGATACTTTACAAATCATTCCTAAGCACCCTGACAGGCCATCATAGCATCTTTTAAGAATCCCAAATATATGTAAATAAAATCATGGTACCAATGAATTGACTATCTCTTTTACATGTTAACAAAAACTCCCTATTTCACCTAAGTTTAACCAGGTTCCTCTGAGCCCTTCTCCTTGACCAGG